GGGTCTCAGCAGGTGTCCTGGGGTCAGAGCAGGTGTCCTGGGGTCAGAGCAGGTGGGGTCAGAGTGGGTCTCAGCAGGTGTCCTCAGGTCAGAGCAGGTGTCCTGGGCTCAGAGCAGGTGTGCCAGGGTCAGAGCAGGGGTCAGAACAGGTGTCCAGGTCAGGTTGGCCCTGGGGATCAGGCTGGAGAGTTTGCTAGGTTGGACCTTCCTGGCGTGAGCTCCTTGTGCCTGTCATGGACTGGAGGGCCCAGGGTTTCCAGCCAGAGGTGACCTGTCTCTCTCTCGCATGGAGTTTAGAGTCTGCGTGGATGTTGTGGCACTTGTTTTGTTCAAAGGTACCCAGGAGGCTTTGATTTTGCTTTTATTTCGCTGTGCCAGTGGATCGTCTTTTTTCCCATCTTATCGTCTCCCACCCCTTTCTCAGAGGCTCTCTTACACCCTGCCTTTGTGCAGTTCCTCCTTCGCCTTTCTCCCCGGCCTCAGCACCGTGACCTTACACAGACTCCTGGCGCCACTGGACGCTACAGAGTCCCAGACCTGATTCCTCTGCTCCCAGACAGCGAAGATCTACACTGCGCTTTCAGACTCTTCTGCAGTGTGCAGCTCAGCAGGACTCTGCCTGCCTGGCCCAGGCCCGGCCTGTCACTAGCAGCTGTCTGCGGCAGCTTCCCCACACGCCCTGCGTGCTTCCCTCTCTGCAGCGCTGTGCTCTTCTGCACTGCGTCCCTCCTGGAAGATGAAACTGGGGAGTACTGCCATTCTTTTCAGAAGGCAAAAGCCAACCATTTACACTTCTTTTAAAAGAAATCATGTAAGTCACCAGAATTGGCAATAGCATATGCTGCCTTTTAGTGGTCTTGAAATATTTTTCTCACTTTGAACTTTCAACAGAAAAGGAGTCTTTGATGGTTTTGATGTAGTATGTGTTCCTTTCCCTTTTGTTAAATCATGAATTTAGATTCATTTAATATTATGTTGTAACTACGAATGTCAGTGAACTTACCTAAAATTGTTTTTAATGCCGTTGGAATAAAACAAAATACATCAGGCTTCAAAGGTTAAGTGATTCCTCTGTATAACATTGAGCTCTGTCAAATCTGGAGAGCTGCCTTCATAGAAATGAGGCATCTAATGAAACCCAAGAAACCTTTTGGGGATTTGTATCGCGCGTCATGCTGTCAAGAAAGTGTGACACATTCGTTACCTCAACACATCCAGGCTGGAATCACGAATGTGACTTTGGGTACAGAGTGTCCTGGGGTGCCCCACGCTTAACCAACCCCCTCTAACTGTCCCCTTGCTTAGGAGTATGAGACCCAGTCCAGTGCAGAAGCCAAGTTTGTGAAGCAGCTGGACCAGTGTGAGATGATCCTGCAGGCGTCGGAGTATGAAGACCTGGAGAGCAAGCCGGGGAGGCTGCAGGACTTCTTCGACTCCACCGCAGGTGCCTGTGCCCCTGCAGCGCGGCCCACGTCTTCGGGCCTTCCCCGAACAGCGCCGTATGAGATGAGGCTGCTGCGGAGGCAGGTGGCGCCTCAGAGCTTCGCTGCCTGGGAGTGAGCACCTTCTCCTCCACCTCCCCCACTGCCAGCTGTGTCCCTGGACTGGCTCCTGACCCCTCAGAGCCTGTCTCCTCTCTGAAAACTGGGGTGGTGGTGATCCTAACACCCTCCGAAGTCCAAGGCTGGCTACTGAGATTCAAGAGAGTTAGTCCGTGTGAAGGGGCTTTGTGATCTTGAGTGCTGTATGGTTGTATGGTCAAGGAGACAATTACAAAGTTAAAACAGGAAAGCCCTGCGAGCTAAAGTCACCTGCGTCCTCCTGGTCCTTCATAGTACAGCCCTGAGGTCAAACTGCTCGGGTTGGAATCCTCATTATGCCCTGTATCAGCTGTGTGACTCCCAGTGAATTGCTTACCCTCTCTTTTTTTTTGTGACAGAGTCTCGCTATACAATTCAGGCTGGCCTCGAGCTCACTTTGTAGACCAGGCTGGTCTCAAACTCACAATGATCCTCCTGCCTCAGCCTCCTGAGTGCTGGGATTACAGGCGTGCGCCACTGTGCCTGGCTGCTTCCCCTCTCTGGACCTTAGTTTTCTTACTTTCAAGAGGAGGATAATAGGACCCACTTTACAGGGTTGTTTCAGGTTACACTGAGCTCATGCAGGTGACACGCTCAGTGCTCAGAGCATCCGTGGCAGTGAGTGGTAGCTGTCTTCCAAAGCCATGACAGCTTCCAGAGCAAGCTGCCAAGCGCACTGTGTCTGTGAGCTGCTCTCGTGTGCCTTCAGTGAAACCCCGCTTCCCGGGCGCCCTGTGCTCGGCATCCTCCGGAGAGTGGCGGGGGCAGCTCCCTCGGGGGAGGCGGGGAGAGAGCACTGCGCCTGCGCTCGGTGTGGTCCGCAGCACAGTGCATCCCTCGGTTTTGCTCTGCAGTCCTCTGGACAAGGCCCCGTTGTTTCGGCCCGGTGCTCTCAGCGTGCCGGCTGCTCTCGAGTTTGCCTTCTTATCTGCCGGCCTCCTTTGTAGACACGGGTGCCTTTGCATCTGTGTGTAGTTGCGTGTTTTGGTACTGGGGACGGAACCTAAATTCTGGTACGTGTCAGGCAAGCACCCTTCCACTCAGCTGGTGTCTTTATTTTAAAAACCCGTGATTTCCCTCTTCCCACGCATGCAACTCTGGCCCTTGCGTGACCCCCAGAGCCCTGCCACCTAAGGCCGCCCAGCTCTGGCCTCCTTCCCGACCCTCGCTGCTGTCAGCGTCAAGCGTCTGTTGTTCATTTTGCACTTGCCCTAGAGCTGCCTGTCTCCCTGCCCGTCTCCTGACGATGCTCTCCGGCTCTCTCCCGCGACAGCTTCCGCTCCTGCAGTGAAGCCCCTGAGATAGCAGCCTAGACGAGGACTTGGTTTGGCTCCCAGGTTTGGAGGTGTTCAGTCTGTGGCCTGTGGGTGCCTCTGCTGTGGGCCTGGGGGGCGGAGCGAGGTGACCTGAGGCTGCCCTCATGGTCTCACTTCTTAACGCCCTCTCACCCCCCAGGAGTGCCAGGCTGGGACCAAGCTTTGCCACCTGGGCCCCTGGAGGGCGCCCCCACCCTGTGCCTGCTGACAGGCTGTGGGAGGACCAGCAGCTGTGGCCTGATCTGCCTTTGATATACGAAGTACTTAAGTCCTAAAAAATCTAGACTTAAGTACAGTGAAGTTAAATTCAGTGACTTTTGTTTACTCTACTTAATGAGTTCATAATTTAATACACTAAGTTACAGAGTGACTTTATGAACTGGAAATCAGCAGATCCTGGCCTAGGGCCAGTTTGTAAATCCTATGCGGTTGAAACCCAGCCCAGCCCTTCTTCACGGGCAGTCAGAGCTGCCCTCTGCCGAGCTGGGAGGTGGACAGGAGGCTGCGGGTGCAGCCTGGGACCGGCTCTGTGGCTCTGCGGGCGAGGTCCGCCAGCCCACGTGGTGCCAGTGACGACGAGCCCGTGGTCGCACACTTCCCGGCCGGTAGTGTTGACGCTTTTCTGGGTGCTTACAGATTGGCTGCCTCACAGTGATGCACTGTGGGCGAGGAGCGGGACGCGGAGCACCAGGAGAGTCAGAACACAGACGGGCGCACGCGGTGTCTGATTTTTTTTTTTTTTGTTTTTTGTTTTTTGTTTTTCTCCGGTACCGGGAACCGAACTCACGACCTTGCGCTTGCAAGGCAGACGCTTTTGCCACTGAGCTAAATCCCCAGCCCCCGCGGCGTCTGATTTAAATTCTGTGTTTTACTGAGAGAAATTTGAGCCCAGAGAGATGACTGCTTTGCTGCTTCTTCCCGTAGCCTCACTAATGCTTGGAGAAAGGCTTCATTAGAGAAAGCTGAAGATATTTCTAGCCCGTGACTGTTACGAAAACTCTTAAGGGGACGCCAGGTCTTTCCTTTTAGTTTCATCTCTGTGACCTGCTTCCTGGCTTCGTGTCCTCTTTTCCTGTCGCTGCTTCCAGAATCCTGGCTCACTGCGGGGTGGGCGGCCTGGCCCGGGGATGGGGCAGAGGGGGCGCAGGCTGGGAGGTGAGACTCCAGTGTGGGCAGCACAGCCCTCACCTGCGCTCGGAGCTGTGGCGGCCTGGGGAGGCAGAGCCCAGCAGCGAGGGCGTCAGGGTGGACCGCTGTGGGGTCCAGTGCCAGGCCGCCGTGGCGGGGTAGACGGCTCAGGCAGCCAGATCCTGGGCATGACCTGAACGTGGTGCGGCAGGGCTGGGGAGGCGTTGCATGCCGGGTGCCTGTGAGCGGAGTCCAAGAATTGGAGCCTGATGGGCTGGAGGACTGGGTGGGACCTAGACTGGGGAGAGGGCAGAAGCGAAGGGAAGGTTTGAAGAGGGAGAGCGCAAGCCGTCAGGTCTGGCAGCAGGGAGGTCACTGCACCTTCAGGTTCGGAGGAACAGGGGTCACAGAAGCCCCTGGGGGAGGAAAGGACCGGAAGACTGAGTGCCCACAGCCACCTTGTGAGTGAGACCAGCTCCAAGACGCACGGTGCAGTGAGGGTGACTTGCCTGCGGGCTGGGCAGGGACAGGGACAGGCGGGGGCGATGTGGGGCGCAGGGTCCGTGCATCTGACAGGAAGTACGGTCACTGCGCAGCACAGAAACCTGGCGTCTTGGTGCCGGGATGCGTCACGGGTCTCCAGTTGAGGGGCGAAGGGGCCTGCAGGAGCTGTTTGCACGCTGGTTCCCAGCGGAGGACAGCCGGAGCCAGGGCTTGGTCTCTGTGTGCAGGAGCCGTGGCCCAGCTCTCCGCCCTCGCACCTGCTTTCCCTGAGGACCTCCGTAGGGGCCTTCAAGGCTGCCCTCCGAGGCTTCCTGCTCCCTGCGTCACGGATAGTCCTGGGCCTGACTCGCCTCTATACTCCCTGGCACGTGGAGTGACAGTGACGCGCTCCCTGTGTCCCCTCCGGAGAAGCTGCAGTCCCCTGCTGTGCAGTGGGCGTGGGGCAGGTCAGAGAGCCGAGCCCCCTGGGATAAGCTGGGGACACAGATGTCTTCTCCTGCCAACACAGGAATGTCTTTTTGCTTTGCAGGGAAATTCAGTCACCCCGAAATAGTCCAGCTCGTCTCTGAAATTGAGGCTGAAAGAAATGCGAACATTGATACCTCCTCGGGTGAGCCGGGCTCCTGAGCACTGGGCCTGTGACACACGATTTCTTTCCCTTTCCTGGTGCTGTTTTGCCATTGCTGGCCTTGAGTTCCTGCGTGTGAAGTCTGTGTGTTTTCAGTTGTCTGCACTGCTGCAAGAAATGTGATGTCATTCAGGCCCTAAAAGAAGTGATGGAAGAAATGGTGATGAATACAGCAGGAGTGGGGAGGAGTGCCTTTTTAATAAATTACACATCCTAAACTTGAAAATTTTTAGTGTCACCTTAAGTCGTCTTTCTCTGACTTTGTAACCTGCGTTCCTGAGGGCCACACTCATTGAAGACTGAAGAAGTTAATTCTGATTGGGTTTAAGAACAGATTTCTGCTGATGTAGTGATGAGGTCTGGAAAAGAGAGTGTGTTAGTGTCCTAACATTTGTCTCCACTGGTGAAATGGGCCTTCTCACACGGTCACTTTCTTGAGGAGGATTTTAAATCACATTCATTGTGCCCCACGTCAGACCCTGATTACAGACTGAGAAACCTTGCCTGCAGCCCTACGTTATTTAAGTTGGCTGTAAATGGGGACCTACAGGTTCAGCTGTCACTTTCCTTTTGTCTTAGGCACTTCATTGCTGAGACAGCCACACCTTGAAGAGAGGCTCACAGTTCTAGAAGTTTCAGTCCATGGTTTCAGTCACAGTTCTAGAAGTTTCAGTGCAGTCCAGCATGGCGGAGGGACCTGGGTCGAGGAAAGCTGCTCATCTCATGGTGCCCAGGAAGCAGTGGGGGTGGGGGAGATGCAGGCTTCCAGTCCAGGCCCTGTGATATGCCTCCAACCAAGCCCCACCTGACAGCATGTGCAGCTCTGCCCTACCTGTAGTGCGTGAGGCTTCCGGGGGACATTCTCAACCCAAACTGTAACACCTTCCTCTTTGCCTCTTGGTACTTTTCTGTCTGATCTGCAGCTCTTGAGGTTTGGTTATAAGAACATTTATTACTTGGTGAAAAATATATCACAGGAATGGTATTGCTAGAGGTACTGAGCCTAAGGGTGGTTACGTATCAGTCTGATTTCTTCCCCTCATGTTCCTTTTGTGGGATTAAGTGACCCACCCCTGTGTGGCTTTAAGTGACACGCAGCCATTGGACAGTGCAGAAAGAAAGGTCATCTGCACGGGCATGCACGGATCTTTGCCACAGAACAGCAAGGCCTGTCCCTTTAATTTGAATGACAGTTTCCATTGGAAGGCCTTTGAGGCTGACATGGTGAAAATTTTTAGGCAGTGTTTCTCTGGAAACTTTGCGGTATCCATGGATACCCAGTCTGCAGGAAGCAAGGTGCATGATCCCTTCAGAAGCAACACACGTGTATGTACAGTTGCTCTGCAATGAAAACAGCAAGTGCAGTGATTACTTTTGGAGATCTAGTTAGTAGGAAAACAAGCCCATCAGTCTGTATTGTGGAGCTTTTTCCTCTTTGCATAAAAATATGTGCATAAAACAACCCCAGATAAAGATTAAGTATTTATAACCACAAGGTTTTTGATGGCCGTGGAGTTTTATTTGGAACATTTTGTTGCCTGTTTCATAAGCACAATTGAGAGCTAGAAGCCTGACTTGGGTCGGGCTTTACAGGGGTCCTTTCGTATTGTCTCAGTTTATCATCTGCCTAACAACTAGATCCTAATTAGCACACACCTTGAGGGAACATTTTTTTAAAATGTTAAAGTACTAGGTGCTAGGAGTAAAATACCCTTTTAATGGAAACAAAACAGATCAATAAAGTAGCTATTGAATCCACCAGCCATGTCTACATAGGTTTGAATTTTATTACTGCATGCATGCTAGATCCCTGGCTTTGGTCTTCTGAGTGGCAAACCCCGTCATGTCGTGGCAGAGTAAATTAGTCTTGGGTTGAACGCAAAGAGAATTCATCATGACCGTTTTTCACTTGTGACTGGCATATCACAGCTGTCACAGCATTTTCAAGGCCCTTGTGTGAAAAAAATGTCCATTCATCTCAGCCTTGTCTGCTGGCATATAATCTGGGGTAAATGATGGATGAAGTGCTGTGAGGAGAAGCATTCTCCATGCCCACATTTTTATACACATAACCTGGTATTCTTAGGTAAGGGGGAATTTCTGTGGGCTTTGGAATGGTGTGTGGGTGTCTGTCAAGGTTCCTCCGGCGCTGGAAGCCTGGTTCTCTCGGGCGTGTTGAGCTGCGGCCTTTCACGGTGGAGCTCGTGCTGGGTGAGGGGAGGTACTGATCAGGGCACAATGTCCTTGTCAGGGGTCACTGCTGGTCATGCAGAGCAAATTCCTGGAAGAAGTTGCTGTAAGACAGGCCGGGCCCTGGCCACGGGGCTTTCTGTCTCACAGTGCAAGCTCTTTCACGGTAGTGTATTCTCCTGCCGTGGTGGTACCACTGACCCGGAGCCCATCCCCAGAGCTGGGCAGATGTCCTCGAATCTGGGCTGCCCTTTGAAATAATCAGTTTAAAAGCAGTTCATTCTTTCCAAAGCAGACACTTTTACCGGTTGGCATGAAAATCTTCCTGTGCCTCTCAAGCTTTACATTTTCTAAAGGTTGAGCAAAATCAGGATCAGAACCTTTCCTGTTACGACTTTAAATGACGCGAGATTCCTGGTTCCGCGCGCATGCTCAGTCTTGGGGAAACGGTGCCGTGCTCCTTCGCTTCCGTGCTTCCTGCGGCTGCTTTGTATAGCTGATTTAGTGTGTGAAGCCAAGACGATGGGGTTCCCAACCCTAAAATATTTACTCTCTGGTCCTTTACACTAAGATTTTTCTGACCCAAGCAGTGTGTGTGTGGGGGAGTATACACACACACACACACACACATATATTACATGGGCTTTTTAAAGTGATTTTTTTTTTTTTGTAAATATGTTTGTTCAGTGTGCATTTTACAAATATGTCTTAAGGTTATTTCCCCGCTACCCAATAATGTATGTTCTCATTTAGAAGAAAAGAGAAGCATATAATGTGGAAGGTAAAAGTGACTGCAGGAGTCAGGCATGGTGTATGCCTGTAGTCCCAGCTTCTTGGGGAGGCTGAGGAAGGAGCATCACAAGTTTGAAGCTAGCCTGGGCAACTTAGTGAAACCCTGCCTAAAAGTAAAATTTAAAAGGTGGCAGGGGATATAACTCAGTGGTAGAGTGCTTGTATAGCAAGCACGAGGCCTTGGATTCTCTCTTGCGTGTGTGCGCGCACACACACACACAGTGTAGAAATACCAATATTAAAAAAATTGATTATTTTCATACACAAGGACAATTTGCAAGTTGGAAACCATTCTAAATTCCGTCTTCAGATATCCCTAATCTAAACAGCTACTACCATATGTAAACTGGAGATTTATATTAAAATCGGAAATTAGTTTAGCATCCTGGGGTAGCTGAATTTGTCATTACTTTCATATCTTCTGTTTTGTTCACCAAGTTAGAAGCTGATTTAAGATAGCATCTGTAGAGTCATACCGATCAACTTTTTTTTTTTTTTTTTTTTTTTTGGTTTTTCTCTGGTACCGGGAACCGAACTCACGACCTTGTGCTTGCCAGGCAGGCGCTTTTGTCGCTGAGCTAAATCCCCAGCCACATACCAATCAACTTTTAAGGTCATGTATGGCCCTGAAAGCTTACAGAAATAAAGAATTCAGTCATCATTAAAATCAATTATTTTAATTGCTTAAGTAAACGTACATCATTGAGGTGAAGGAGATCCCAAGCAACTTGCGGGAATTTGCAGTTTGCTGTCCTCTTGCTGGAGATGCCGTGTACAGCTCCACCTGCAAGGACAGCACTCAGCTCGCAGGACATGCACGTCGGAAAGGCGGCCGAGCAAAACCCAAAGCAGATATTATCGCTACATTTTGGGGAAAGGTATGTTGGATGACACAGACGGGTTATGACCAACTGGACTGCTCTGTTTGGGACACTGGAAAAGATGACAATCTATATACTGCAGGTGATGGTCATGTGGTCCATCGTCAACACAAATAAAGTGGAAATCATTGTATTAGGTTTTCTGGAGAGGCTGTTTGAATAAGAACATCAAACCCTAGGTCTTGGCCCGTGGGATTTTGGTCTTCGTATTGGAGATGCGAGGATACAGATGGCTGGGCGGTGGCCGGCATCTGGATGGCCTCGGGCTGCCAGGACCTAGCACTGCAGCCCCTCGTCCTCCGCCTGCTGGGGGCCTCCCAAGGTGCTCTGCGCGCTGGCCTGGGCTGTGGAGCTGAGGACCTCCTCAAAATTGCCTCCGCCATGGTTCGTCCCGCCTACTTTCGTCTGGAACAGACAGAGGCAAAGACACAGTTAGTTGCTTATTGTAATTTTTGTAATGTTTTTATAAGAATTCCAAGAGCCCGATAACTCAGAATTCAGAAATACCACTTGTCTTCAGAAACAAGGATGTAGGTAGTTTCCTGTAGCACAGTGCTAGAGCGTCATTCATGCTTGCACTCAGCGATGGGATTCTAAATTTATTTTGCACAATTTAGCAACGTTCTGTCTTTTGCACACCTAGGATTCTGATCCTTTCAAGAGGATAATCAGATTGCGGGACTGCAGTATGTATCCCCACTCATCTAGAGAACTGATTTGATCCAGATAGAATTGAACTTTAGACTGGTCCTCTCAGTGTCACAAATATGTACATATCCTTACATGACTGAAACTTAGCTGTCCTGCTCGGGATTGAGCAGGACAATCTGAATTCTTGGCACATGTCTCTTGATGAGGACCAAGGGGCTCAATGCAAGTGGTTTCTACTTTCTGCTTTGAGAGTGGATCAAGTCCCAAGGAGGGCTAATTTGCTATCTTGTGTGGCAGCCACTTTTCAAATTGGAACAGCTCGCAGAGTGCTAGGTATGATGCTTTCTGAGGTTCTTTTGTGTGCTTGTAATTGACTACATAGAACACCAAACGATCAATTTATAGCTGACAATATGCTTAAGTATTGTGAAAAACTTCTTATTAAAAGCCTTTCGAAACAGCGTTTAAAGGTCAAAAATGTTTTTCTGAGTCGTCTCACTCTTCACATCGCCCTCATTCATTTGCAGTGTGGAGAAGGAGGAGGAGGCGACAGAGAAGAGAGAGTTCTGCGATTGTCCACAGCACCGTGGGGTCTGGGCGGCACTGTCACGCCAGTGACCCCGCCCCGCCCCCACCCCTCGGGGATGCAGAACTCGGGGTGTCTGTGCTGCCTTTTGAAACACTTGACCAGGGCTGAAAAGGAGTTCATCCTTTCCAAGACGGACACTTTTCTCTAATTGGCACTAAAATCTTTCTGTGCCTCTCAAGCTTTTCGACACTGCTTGGGTCAGAAAAATCTTTGTGTAAAGGACCAGAGAGTAAGTATTTTAGGGCTGAAAACCCCATCGTCGGCCGCAGATACTCAAATCAGCTGTAGAAGGCAGCCGCAGGAAGCGCCTAAGCGGAGGAGCACGGTGCTGTTAACCCAAGACTGAGCATGCGCGGGAGCAGGAAGCTTGTGTCATTTAACGCCACAACATGAAAGCTTCTGATCCTGACTTGCTCGGCCATTAGAACATGGAAAGCCATCCCTAGCTGACAGATCCTACAAAAGGAGGGTCCCCGCCGACCCGGCCAGAGCTGCGGGTGTGTGTGGAGTCTCAGCACTGGGAAGAGGCCCCGGGAGGAGGTGCTCCCCGTGCTGTGCCTCCTCCCAGTGCGGGGTGTGCCTTTCCTGAGAGACACACACGGTCAGTTTTGCAATCTGCTCCACTAACAGCTCGCGTCCTTCCCTTTGTAAATTCACATTCTCTTGCGCCTCTGTTTTTCAACGGACGCCTCAGAACAGGATTGAATCCAGTGCAGAGCAATTACTGATGCTTGCTTCTGGGCTTGATTTCTCTCTTCTACTTGATCTCCTCATACCAAAATACTGAAGTAAAAGAGTGAAGTGCTTTCAAAGAAATAAGCTTGACGAAGAGGATGGAAATTAGGGGGTTCCTGAGCTCATGGATTTACTGACTATACACTGCAGTACTAAGGCAAGGGCTACAATACTTTGCTTAAGCAGACATGGGAAAAATAACCTTTCCCTGGCCCCTCCCCTTCACAATAGCTCAAGAGTCACTTTGTTTGTAAAATTATAATTTTTCTTTGCAGAAAATTCCACTGAACCGCTGAGGTACGCTTTCTAATCTCTTGCAAAATAGCTGGTTGAGAGCAAACAAATGAACAAAAAGTATAAGGTACCTTATACTTGTCTTCTTTTTAAGGTTTTGATTCAGGCCCTGTGATATTTTTATCAAAAGGTAGGTGCGGAGAAAGCGAAGGCTGCCTGAGGGAGCTGTGGAAAGGCTTCGGGGTGGAGTTTCGCACTGCTCACCCGGATGTGGCTGGGAACACAAACGTGGCTTTACAGGTGCCGATTTGGCCTCTGCTTGCTTGTTTCGGATGAAATACAAAGTGTGCTCACTGACCGAAGTGTCCTTAAATAATACATTGCAAGAATGTAGGCAGGACTAAATTTTATATGATTATGATGAATTGGAAATGTTTCCATGGGAAATCAGGTGACTTACAGAGTTGGGCGCTGAGGAAGATTAAATAACTGGTTTACACAGGACACGTCAGATTGCATTAGGAGCTCGTGGAGCAGGCTCACTTCACAATAGAATATGTTTCTTTGAGAACATAAGCATGACCTCAGTCCCCATCAGAGGTCTCCAAAACCAAGCTTATAGCGAGACATGGGAATGGGAATGCGACATAGAAATCTACAGGCACTAACTCATCTGTGCTGTTTCATGAGCCGGAGCCCGGAGATTCAGGAGGAAGCAGTAGTGCAGAAATGTTGATGAAGGTTTAACACACAAAAGTAAACTGCAGAAAATAAGCTATAGAAAGAAGGGTTAACTGTATCTCTTACTTAGAAGAGAAAAAGGAATGAGAAATTCGTAACTATTGAGGAAGTGGGAGGCTTGACATAAAACATGATTATCAGCTATTCTCCACTGCCGGCATGTGCAGAAAAAGGGAAATTAGGCTTGGTTGTGAGCTAGAAGGTGTGTGGGATGTGAGTCTTGTTAAGCCCAGGAGAAATCACACAAGCATAGAGTATACTTTCAGGAGATCTCCACAGGACAACATCCGGTGGCCGAGCTGCTCACATGAGTGGTGGGGGAGGCGTGGGCTATATCTCTTCCTTCCAACTGCATGGGGTGCCAACACTGAGAAGCAGAGGTTACCAGAGTGCCCTTAAAGCAAATCACAGTAGGTTGCGCTTATTCTCCTTTTGCTTCTTTGTACCTCCTTCTAAGGAAAACCTAAGAAGTACATCTCCTTCTATGTCAGAACTTCTCTACCAAGCACCAGCTGCATCCTGCCTGGGTATCTAAGGCTGAACACGAAGCACTGAGAAAGCAACGGCTAAGTTTTGAGCCTTTTGATACTAGATGTTCCAGCAAAAACCATCTCCACTGCCTTGCACATTTCCCTCCTCATGGGAGCTTGATTATCAGCTACTCTCCATTGCCTGGGTGACTGTCCGGTGTACTCTCCGTTGTCTCCTGCTGCCTGCCCCTGTGCCTTCCATAAGTAAGCAATGATCCTGCCAAGCAGGGCAGCTGAGGCTGTGCCACTAGCAGCCGCTGGTGAGCGGAACCAAGGATGGGCCCGGGAACACTGAGGAGTGGTTTCAGTCTTGGGCCTTCAACACCTGATCACAGGCTTCATGCAGCATAGATAGGAGGAAACAACACCCTCCAGGTTGGAATCTGTAACCGCATCGGGGCTCTGCAGCAGGGAAGAACTTGGCCCCGCACCTGCCGTCACCCAGCTCATAAGCATGGGGAGCAGCTCGACAACCAGCGTCCATGCGCAACTGGTTTCCATCTGGTTGCAGATTCTGTGTTTGTGTCTTTCCCCGTGATAGCAGAATACAGAAATGGACTGCATACAAAACACTGATGACGATAGCAAGATGTAATGAAATCACCGTTTACGTGACATCTCAAAAAATCATCCGAATAGTTTCCATGATTTTCCCTGTTTCAAAAGTCTATACCTTTTTAGAAGTAGACTGGTTTTATTTGTGCTCACTTTTTTAAAATCGGTAGACTGTTAAGGCTTAAACAATAAACCTAGTGAGTCTTAGTACCTCTCATGGAAGGGGAATATTTTCACTTTATACCCAGGAATCTAATGCATTGCTATAGAATAGAGCACTTTGGGGACTTGGCTTCATTTTCTGTCCATGGCGACCATCTTGGGCGGGTGCAGTGTGACTCTGGTAAACAGGCTAGGGAGCCAAGGGGACGCAGACAGCCATGTGGCAGGCGCCCGCTCGGTGTTTACTGGTCTGTGTCCGCGGCAGAAGAGCTCTGGGATGTTACAGAAAGTTCACTCACATCCTAAATTCACATTCATTTCCCTCATTCTAACCCCGGTTTTCTCTCACGTGTCTGCTTCGTGGGCTAAGCAGGAAGGGTGAAACAGTGAATGCAAATCTGATTCACTTTAGTGCACAATTCACCCGAGTGGTTTGGTGCACATCGCTCTAAGCACTGTTGGATTCTGATTTTATCTGTAGCTCTACATGGGAAGAAAACGGTGTGACTTTGTGCACTTCATGCTTTTATGTCTCTTTGTGCTGCAGGGAAGGTGGGTGGCCCTGCCTTGTCCGTAGAGTTAGTGGAAATGACTAAGGGGCCCTGGTGAGATGAACACAGTCACACGCAGCTCTCTTCATCTGTACCTTAATGCTTGTGACAGTCGTCTCAACCCTCTCCTCAAATGATTTGAAAGTAGGAGAATTCCTAAAATAACAAAAAGAGATAGGTCAGCTCAAAGACCTAGCATCTTAGCAACCATGCTGTTTGGTTTTCTACTCTTATTTGTGAATATTATCTCTCCAGCAGAGCTGACTCAGCCTCCAGCCGACACCAACCATGCTTTAAAATACATTCTTCTTCTACTAAGCTAGGTCTGTCCAAGACATGGAATACTTGTAAGTAAGAGTCAGATAGTCAACTGTGGAATAAATCGTACAGCATGTGACAATGATACAACTCCAAAAATTCCATTAGTACATCATAAATCATTCCCAGTGAGTCAATAGAGTGATAGCTTAATTTGTCATTGACTAATAAATTGTTTCTGGCACATCTTTATGATTCATAGTTTTTTTTAAAAAATTACTTTGTAAGCAAAAGAAAAAAATCTATCTGAAGAATGTCATGTTCAACTTTCTTTTACTTGGAATTTTAAAGTTTTTTTTTTTTCAAGTATGAGACAAGATAGAAATAGCTCAAGGATGGGAAAAAGTTCCTACATCTTTTCTTTCCCATTCCTTAAAAAGTAATCATTTTGACAAGTTTCATGAAGCAGTGTTTCTAAAAGTTAATGCTTTCATTATTTCATGTTGAAATACACCCATTACCTGTCGAATGTCTAATGATTAAATTGTGCTCAGAGCATATGTTATTTTTCTTCCCCAAAGGATATACCTATTCGTTCTCTTGTTAGAGCCTTTGAAGTTTCCTGGCATTTTATTTGTGACTCATTCATTGTGCTAAATGATACATATACCATCTTGTGGCTTTAAGTGTAGATGCTTAAGTAATCTGGTGCTTTCTGGCTTCTTATACTGAATTTGACCATGTGATATCATAATTCAATGATGTCATTGCCATTAAAAGTGATATCAAGTCCAACTAAAGAAACAGGACCTGAATTGTTAAAAGATGTATCTTAAATCCTGTATTAATGTCACCTTTTGGCAACAAATACCATTATTTTTAGGTCAAAGAATTCAACTGAAAGTTACTACATCTCATAGGCCATTGAGTGCAAGAAAAAACAAAACAAAAAAAGTAAAAAGAAGAAGGGCCCAGAGGGACTTTAGAAGGGAGAATGTCTATAAAATATGGGTTTCACTGTAAAGTGGAGGATGAACCAGGCCTTTAGGATTATCAAGACACAACTAATATAGAGAATATGTTTTTGGGTGAAATGGGCTTTATTGGGAATTGTCCCTTGAGAATCTGAAGCTGAAATGCACTTAGATTCAGACTGCACAAATTAGCACTGGTGATGTCAGAGGGCACCGACATGGCAACAAACCCCGTGTGGGATTCAGACACTGGTCACCTTCCTATGAGTGACGCTTCGTATTCTTCTGCTTCACGGTGAGACACCAGCGCATTACATCTGAGTGGCTCAGAAGCATAGGCATGAGGCTTTCCCTGCCACTGCGGGTTTTATGTCACCCACCAGTGAGCTCCGTGGGCAGACAGTTGAGCCTAGAGATTCAAGGGTATATGTTAGACTGGGTGCGATCAGTTCTCCTTTCAAAGTTAACTTCAAGAAGTTCATGGGATTGCATTTGACATGGAAGTCATTTTATGACTCCTGTTTTATCTGAGTTGTAGGCACTCCTGGTTCACAGAGCAAAATCACGTTAATGTTTTCCATGCTTTTCTTGGATCCCCAGACTCAACATTTGCTAAGTAAAGCAGCTCAGTGTCTCAGGTTTCGCTGTGCTCCTTGGTGATCACCTGCCAGGAGGAGATGAACTGGAATCTGCATTCCTTATTTACCACTGAGTACGGAAAGCCAAGTACAGTACTGTGGTTGAGTTTCCCAGTCACCCGGTAAACCGAACAACTGCGGTGCAGAACAGACTTCCCTGGATGTAATGGAATAGGCACTTCTCCAACTAAATCACGCTCAAATGCCTACTGGGGAACAGGGGAACCGGTTTTCTCCAATTTAATCAAACCATGTGTGACCACAAACCTTGAGTGGCCAAATGGCCCTAGAAAGAATTTGGTTTCAGCAGTCATAAACGATTTAAAATAGTAACTGAGCCCCGCTTTGAGGTATTCAAAGCACAGATACTCCCAGGAAGCAGGCACAAGAGGCACGTTTCTGGCTAAATGGAGGGAGGTCCCCAAGCCTGAGGTGCAGCCTCAGCGTGGGACAGAAGCAGGGGCAGCCTAGGCCCTGGAGCACCTTGTGAAGGGCAGCAAATCTCGCCCTGGCCTCTGACTTTAAATATGCTGAAACCGATACCATAGATGTGGCCTGCAGCAGACTGTCCCGGTAATCCATGGTGGAGCTGGGCCACAGCCTGCCTTTTGACTCCCTGTCCAGCATCCCCTTATCCGGACCCCCCATTCCTGTTAGTCTGAATTGATCTGATTATATCACTGGGCCATGCAGTCTTGACCCTGGGAATGTCCTTCTCACAAGTTTTCATCTGGCCAGTATTTTCACTATATCGTTCATCAGGCACCTATTTACCTTAAAAACCTAACAGCACCCTATCCTGTCTAGGACAACAGCCCTCTTAGTCTCAACCATTCTTTAAGCCTCTCCTGGGCTTGTATTTAGTTCCGCTGAAATAATAAACATGTCTCCACCCTTGCAGGTGTTCAGGGAATGCTTCTGGCCCTCTGCTGTTTCAAACAGCTTCCTCTGTTTTGGCCTCACAGTGCCCATCCATGTGAGGTGACCCTTATTTCCTGCACTATCCAGCTAAGGGTGGAGACTGAGGTAGGTTAGGTCACACGGGAAAGACTATTTTAAGTCAGTGTGTCCGGTGAAAAGCCCAAGCCCAGCACACCATCCTTCTACAGAACTCAAGCCTTTCCCCAGAAGATGACCAGACAGACGGAAGAGGAAGAACATGGGCCTTCGGCCATTTTGTCCCACAAAGCAGCGGGGAGGGAAGCTCCCATGGCAGCATCGACCAAGTAACACTTCACACAGGTTCTGTGTAAACAGTCTGTAAGATATTTTACACACATTACCTCATAGCAGGCATACTGATGGAATGGCGAATGGAGTAGCTGCAGGCACAAAGCAGAAAAAGGGAAAAAAAGCACAGTCATAAAAAACTTCCTCTTCACAGGTCTAAAACAGCAGTTTCAAGTATCAGAAGTGTCCCTGCCCACCCAGCCAAGACGGTGTTCGTTTTCCTCGGACATGCACAGCCACGGTCAGCTTCCAAGGCTGGAGGGAAGAGTAGGTCGATGGGCTGTGACTGTGTTGCATTTTACTTGGGGTCCCTACACGAAGTCCGAATGCCTGGTGCCCTCCCCTGGTCAGCACAGGAGATCCTCCGGGTCCAACCGAGGTCTCTACTTCCTCACACCATTTGCACCGTCTACCATGGAAGGAGGGTTTTCCCACTCGTCTTGGTTCAAGTGTCTAGAACATCCGGTACACATACAGACGTTTCTGAGAATTTAAGAGACTCATCCTCTTGATCCTATGGCTGCTGACTTGTCTCCCATAGATTGGGTTGTTTGTGACTGGATCCCAGTCCAAATCAGGCTGGGCAGAGGGTAGAACCAAGAGGGGTCCCTTGTCCTGGGCCAGTGCTTGGTCCCCCCGCCCCACTCATCAATGTTGTCTCTGCTGTCTCTTCTCCCTAGGGCATAATGACTCTTGGATCAAGTATGTCACCCTTCCATAGGATGCCCACTGAGGCCATTTGTACGGGCACACTTTACTAGAATGCAGAAAGAGGACAAAGAAATTCAGGGCACACTTGTGGTCTTAACTCTAGACACTCCATGTAGAAACTATAGGCAAAGTATTTCCTCAGAAACTGCATCTAAAAGCCATCCCTAAAAGAAATCCATCATACTGATCTGTATACCTCTTTAAATATAAGCAATACTTCAGAAAAAAAATAGTTTATATAAAATTCCAGCTAAAAAGTGCTTAACTCAGGAGCAAGAAATAACTGTTGCAGACTTTTAAACACGTGTTTTCCAATAACCTTTCTGTACCTTGGACTTTAGAAGGTAAAGGAAGTTGAAGGTGAAACATTACATAGGGTACAGAATTTCATGCAAATAAAGTATGCCAGAAGTGTGATGGCGTAAGTGTATTTGAACAAAAAGAAATAAGAGATGAATGCACAGTTTTGCTGGTGCCTAAATCACTGCAACTTCGAGGACCCAGTTTCTTTAAACACAAAACAACAAATAATAAGAGTTGTGGCTGAAAAAAAGGAAATAGTTACAAAAAGTCAGAGAAACTCAACAATTGGGAGACATAATTTTCTCTTTCTCAGCTTCACTTTGTGAAAGACTTGTAAAAATACACTACTCTCAATTTCAAGGATTTAAATTTTCCTCTTTCAATTCTGAGGATCTATCAAGTATAGGAAGAACTGATGCAGACAAAGTGATTGCTCAGCTAGCAAAGTTGGTGAGACACATTTAGAGATGAGACGGGTGTGTGCTGCCCAAGCCCAGGGCCCACATCTTGCGGGCGGTATCTGCCACAACCCACACTCTGGGACAGCCTGGCTCCTCCCAGCCCCTGGTTCCCGAGGTGCAGCGTGCTTACCCGATGGAGTGAGACCTGCAGCCCAGCAGCACAGAGGGAAAAGCAAGGCAAAGTTAGCACAGGGGATGCAAAGAGGCAACCACACCCCACTTGCTGTCCCTTTCCAAGGGCTCAAAGACAAGATCAGCCACCTCCATCCACCATTCTCTCCTGGGCGTCCAGCGAGCGGTCTGCCTTCCAGGGGCAGGCTCCAGGACGCCCTGCAGTGCCTGGACCCACAGAGTGCGGGGCCCCTGTGCAACACAGTGTGGTGCTTGCAGAACCGATGATCTCCAGAGGACTGCTAAGACACAACCCAGGAGAGGGTGGGTGAGTCCTTGTGCGCAGCGCTGTGTGGACAAGCCTGGCACTGTTACGCTTATGCCATTTTAGCATGAAAAGAGCCAGCTATGGTGGAGCTGAGTCCTACTGTCCTCCTCCTAACCCACAATGGCACTCAGGGCACAGTGATGAAGGCAGATGCCCAGACGGTGCCCAGGCCCTCCCAACTGTCACAGAGGGACAGCCTGGAAACGTACTGTGAACAGCTCCAGCGGCACAGGATGCCCCTGAGTACGAACGAGCACCGCCTGGCTGGCTGGCAGCACTGTGCCGAGGTGCCCACGCCCAAGTGAGCTTCCCTCTAAGTGTGTGGAGAGCAGCTTTTAGGGTCACAGCACAATATGTTCTCTCCAGTGCAACAAGGACTGCCATCGGGCCCTTCCCGTTCTAGGGGAGTGTTTGTTTAGATCAGTGTTTTAATACCACTGAAGTGACTGAATTTGCAATAAAATCAGCTCCTCCGAGGTGGCTCTGGAGGGCTTGAGAGGCTTTTGATAGCAGAGTGTCAGAGGAATGGAGATAAAACCACACACACTCACACACACACTCACACACACACATGGGCCCGTGCCCTGCTCTTCTGCCCTTACTAAACTGTCCTTATCAATTCCTGGTTGTTAAGATGGGCAAAATCCAGCCATTCATGAAGTCAAGAGATAATTCAAATGCAAAATATAAATATTTGCCTTCAAGTAACAATAGCTTAAGAACCCAACACATAAATGCAGACGGATTCTTTTCTGAGGTTTTCAGGGTTGAACCCAAGACCTCATGCATGCTAGGTTAGCGCTGTACCACAATGCAAAGTCCCCAACTCATTTTATTTTCGTGTTGAGGCGGGATCTCACTACACTAACCAGGCTATCCTCGAACTTGTAACCCTCCTGCCTCAGCCCCCTGAGGTGCTGGGATTACAGCTGTGTGGCTCCACACCTGGCCACACACAGAATTTTCAAAAGGAAGAAATTAAAAACTTACTTGAAAAGTCTTCTTGTTTTTAAAGTGAATTTGAATTCTAGAGAGACAAGTGCATTTGATTTCTAAAGAAAGCTCTCCTGAGGTGCAGCAGCTAAAATCAAAGTAAGGTCATCCATATTCACTGAGTTTTATTTTTGCTATGTATTTAAACAAGCAAAAGTATAGTGGTAATAACTCTGTGTAGGATAACTTCCCTGCACGTAAGAGAAAAGTTAAAACTGGTCAGGGTTATCTATTTTTTAAAAGTAGAGTGAGTACCTTTGGTTCTCAGGTTCAAAATCTACATTCAAGGTCACCCTACTTTTATGTAGGAGTGAAATGTGGAAAATAATAATGTAGATTGGACTTGCTTAAATGTTTTGCTATTATCACTGGGCATGGTGACCCACGCTTGTAATACCAGCCCTTGGGAGGCTGAGGCAGGAGGACTGCTGCAAGGTCTAGGCCAGCCTATGCTATATCATGAGACCCTGTCGCAAAAAATAAATACATAAATAAATAATAAAATGTCTTGCTATCACTAAGCACTGGGTGATAATAGAGTCAATAAAAGTGAAGAAGTGAAATATATTAATATTTTGCTAAAGTGAAGAAAGAAAGCTAATCTTCACTTTTGCTAAAGTAGAGGAAAGTGTAATCCAGTGTCCTTTTTGAGTGAAAGAATGAATATGCATGTCCTTAGCACAGAGAAAATAACACCAGGGGGTTGTGCAGTGTAAAAAGTGCAGTCTGGAATAGCTGACTGCAGCATGTTGCCCTGAACTCTGATGTGTCACTGAAACTGGAGATTGGTAAGATTCAGGAGGTGCTGCAGTTTCCGGAAATCCCTCGAAGGAAAGCATGCATGTTACCGGTGCACTGACCGCTCCTCATTTTCCCAGTGGAAGGGTTACTTCTGGGACCAGGCCCCGACACTGCCCTTCAAACAGAAACCTTCCCATTCACAGACTGAGCTCGGGCCCCAGGCAGCACCACTCTTAGCCCTGCGCGCAAACCCGAAGAGATGCCGCGGCCACGCACCGCATGTCCCCGAGCTTCCTGCTGAGGGCCGTGCCCACGTTGCTGAGCGCCGCCGTGGCCTTCTGCCCCGCGTGGCTCAGGGTCTCCTGCGTCTTCTTGTAGCTGGAAGGAAAAGGGGAGCCGTGATAAGCAGCTCAGTTTCATTTCGTTTTGTTTCATATTTTTATCACCGCCCCCACAAAACATTCATCTTCCTGCTCTCCCCATACTTTGAAAGTTCCTTCTCCCAAACAGACGTAGGAAGAAAAGGACCCACGGGACCCTTGTTTTATTTACTGCTAGGGGATGGTGGGCAGACTGGGATCCATCAGACAGAACGCCAGGCCATTCAGTCTGAAAAAACAAGGCCGAGTGGGCGGACCTTTCGGCACCCACAAGTGACCTGCCCAGAGAGGAGAGACATTTAGAGAAGTGAGCTGGGCATCATGGCCCACACCTGTAACCTCAGCAACTGGGAGGCTGAGGCAGGAGGATCTCCGCGATTTTCAGGCCAGCCTGGGCTACAGAGTGAGTCCAAGGCCAGCCTGGACTACATCAAGACCCTGTCTCAAAAAAGAAGAGTATTAAATATATTAATAGCACAAAGAGACACTTGTTAATCAGAACTGTACCCACCAAAGGTAACAGGAATTAGAGAGCACATTTTTACTAGCACGTGTTTGTGATACACAACGATCGCATTCATTGTAGGGAGCTGGTCCGTGCACGTGACGCGTCTTAATTCTTTTCACATTCTACGAGGAGGTGCCAGAGAGAGCATTTCACCAAGGGTGCAAAATCCACTTAGGGCTATTCCCTCCAAGGGCTCCCAAACATTTTATCAAAACATAAATTTACCGCTTGGACCTAGAGAGAAAGAATGTGCTTCCTGCCTGGTATAAGGCAAAGGAAGCCGGAAGGGACGAATCCCAGGTCGGTGTGGCGAGGCACTGTGTGTGCTGCCTTTGGCACTAGGTCCTCAGCCTCCACTGGGACTTCCAGCTCAGCGGATGAACCACGGCTCCTCATACCCAGAGGCAATGAGCATTCTCCACTGCCACAGCCTGCAAGTCTGGAAACCTCACGTTAAAGAGTGCGTAGATCACAAGCCGATGTCCAGCATCCAGCACTGCACCTCTCCACGCCGGCTGTGGGCCTTTCCCTTCTCCTGATGTGGGGTAAAGTTCTTCAGCTTCTCAAAACAGTGGAATAGTCCAGATTTCTTTCTAAAACCTTCTGCCCCCTGGAGACCAACTCTGGGCCATGCCATAAGTCACCAGCGTTTATTAATAAGTGGGAGAATTTCACAGGTTCACAGAGCAAAACGAGGCATAAATCACTGAAAGAGGTCTGTTTGAATGGTCCCTCACAAGGTGGTTTGCCTGGTCCCTCCTCCTTGTCCTCCTCCCGACCCCACACGGGACTGAGGATTGACTCCAGTGCCTTCACACTGAGCTACATTCCTAGCCCTCTTATTGTGATTTTTATTTTTCATTTTGAGGCAGGGTCTTGCTAAATCACTAAGTTGCCCAGGCTGCTCTCGAACTTGCAGTCCTCCTGCCTTAGCCTCCTGGAATTCTGGGTTATAGGCGTGAGCCTCCATGTCTACTGCAAGGTTGTTTCTCTCCCCGCTCCTTCATGCTACCCACCTCCCTTGCCTGCTTGAAGCCTGAAGACAACACAACAAAGAGGCAGAAAACAGAAGTGGGGCACGTGTATGTATTCTTGGATTATCTCAAGTCCAGAGATGTTAAAAAGTTGACACACCCCAGGGCAACAAGAAGCCCCGCGGCTGCCACCCGCTCGACAGGCTTCTGTATTGCTGGGGTCTTTCCGTGAAGGAGACAGTCTGAGTGGGCTGTGTAATTATTCCTACTCACCGGGTTCTGTTCCAATTTAAATCCTACTGCAGAGAAAGCATGCAAGGATCTGTCATTAACACAACATCGATTTTCTTTTCATTATAAATCACACTAAATAGGTCATGATTGCCTCGTCAATATGCAAAGTGTTGCCACTGAACTGCACACATCCAGCGACAGCTGAATTCTTCTCAGTGCTTCGAAATCCGCTTCTACCTGACTAACCCCACCAGGGCTCATTGCTCCCTCTTGCCCAGTTTCTCATCATCTGTGGAGACTCTCCTGTCTCGGACCGTCTCGAGTATGCAAACAGGACCGGGACTTCACTACTTCAGGGGAAATTAATTTTGCTATCATCCCTCCCAAGACAGTGATGAGGACACGGTCCCCTCAGCAGTCATGAAAGACAATGCCCTTCTGGAATTCTACCGTTGATAGATTTACGCCTCCTCCTTAAGGAGGGGACTGATCCTTCCCCACAAAAGAAAGTTCACTTTGTTCCGAAAGGTAGGGAGTCTACAGTCATCCTGATTGTGAGCAATTGGCCAGTGTGCAAGGCCCCGTTCAACCCCCGGCACCAAGAGACAAGCACATAACCATCCACCAGGCATCCACCAGGCATTCGACCAGCCTCTGAGGAGCGCCGGCTCGTCCTGTAGCCTGCGGGGACGCCCACATGAGGAGGACTCCAGATGTCCACATCTGCCTGCCTTGACCTGTGCCTGAGTCTTCCTCTCACTGGACAAACGTGTCTGTCTGTCTGGTGGGCAGTTGTGAAGCAAGGTCCTCGGTGCCCCTGCAGCACCTCTCTCCCTCTTTCTCCCTCCACCTCCAAGTTGTGGCTACACCCAGCCCGTGTCAGGGGACCCTCCCTTCATGGTCCCAGATGCCCCGCTTCTCAGGCGGGGCCTAGCCCTGAACCCACAGCACCAGGCTACAGCCTCTGCCTGCAGTGTTAGCTTCTGCTGCAAGAAACGGGGCCCGTTCTCACCCCACAGCCTTGGAGCCCTCGACGTCCCTCACTGTCACTGTCCCCCTCCACGTCACGGGGAAGTCCTGCTGGACAGACCTCCAGAGCCACCACCCATGCCTGGTTCCCCGACTCACAGTCCACACCACACCCAGGGACCAGAGGCGTCACTTCGAAGACGATGCACCCAGGGCCCTGGGGTCAGACCCGCAGCCTCCCCTCCCTGCTCTGGACAGCCCAGCCTGCACAGAAGCCCTCAGCATGGCCTCTCCTCTAGGGCAGTGCGACGCAGCAGGGTCTTCCTCAGCACTGCAGCCTCAGCCTGGGACAGCCCACAGCTTTGCCAAGCTGCCGAAGCTCCCAAGTGAACACTTCCTGTCCTTCCTCAGGTGTTTGTTCGTCACTTGCAGTTTGCTCTCTGCCCTTCCAGCAGTGACTGAGACAGGATCAGCCCCTCTTGTTGACTCCTGTCGGCCCACACAATGAGCCACCAGGCATTAGCAGTGTCCGGTAAAGGGCAGGGTCCGACCCCTCGGATGGTGTCCAGTGCTTGTTTGTAGAACAACCGTCATCAGATGCACAGGGCCTCTGTGGACACCTGGCTCGGCAGCTCCAGAGAACCAGATGCTTCCTGCCCAGCTCTGTCTCTTGCTGGGGGCCTTCACGTGGCCCCGAGGACCCCAGCGAGCTCTGCTGTCCCCTCAGGCATAGCTCTGTCTTCTGCTTTCCATTCCCACCATGCCCTGTATTTTCCTCACATCCCTTTTCACTGTTATCACTTAGCTTGTTATAAAAACAAAACAAACTCTGTCTCCTTGACTGGATGAAGCTCAAGGAACAAATAACCTCAGGGAAAAAAACCTCACTTCATCCAACCTATATCTTTATGCTAAGAAGGCTGCCTGTTTGCAAAACCAATATGTTTTTCAAACATGGGGACATTGAAACTACACATCCTCCCCAATATGAATAGGATAGAAGTTTTCCTTGAACTTGTCTATTTAAAGTCCATGTCTGTCTTCATTACTTTTCTCTCGTTGCTGGGATGAAATACCTGATGCCCAAAATTAAGGAAGGAAAGGTTTATTTAGCTCACAGTTTGTGGAGGTTTCAGTCCATACTTGGCTGGCTCCAAGGCAGAGTGGCACATGGCAGAGGGCTATAGTTCATGGAGGCGGAAGACAGCAAAGCAAGAAGAACTAAAAGGGAGGAGTGAGTGCAAGCAGCCCCTTTTCTTCCCTTACGTTGTATGCAAAGTATGCGCCCCAGGGCAGGTGTAGTACTCACATCCATCATTCCAACACTGGATCATGAAACAATCATAAACTCTAGAGCCTACCCCATGACTGCATGAGGATTTGGGGGAACATGCAGACACAAACCACAACAATGTCCCAAGATGAATAAGATCCCCATTAAATGGCATTGGCCACCAAATACAAAGACAGAGGCCCAAACAACTGAGGCATGAGCTCATTTAATTACTGCCTAATTCGAGCTGTCCTTTCAAAGTTGTAGTGAATGGACCACGGGTGATCAACTTATAACTGCCAGCTGAACTGAGTAAGTGTGATGCTGGGTGTGGGAGGCCCACCTGAGGATTGTTGCCAGCAGCAAAAGATGCAGAAATGAAGAAGTTAGGCTGTTGGGAGCTGAGAAAAGGCTGTTGGGAGCTGGTAGGTGCTGTAAGGAGCCTTTGTTTCTTTTGGAGGAGCTTGTCACACTGGCTTTCCTGATGAACTTGGCTGTTTTCTTCCTCTGAGGAACTCAGCTCTTGGTGGCACTGAGAATAGCTTCAGTTCACTTTGGGGGAGCTCTGGTGCACACTTTGAGCGTAGCTTTCTGACTCTGGAGGGGAAGATGGTGCTCTACCAGTCTCCTGGAGAAGCTTACTGTATTGGCTTTCCTGATAGGAACTCAGCTGTGTTCACCATGGAGGAGCTCAGGACCTCACTGTTGATCAGGATGGCTATGGTACCTTTCAGGGGAGCTGTGGTTCTTACTTTGTGCATTGCTTCCTGGCTCCAGGGAAGATTCCTTAGCCTGCTAGCATAAATCCTTCATCCTGGTGGCACAGACTTTCTAAATTCCATCACTGACCTTTGGGCCTTCCCAGTGCAGGTCTGTGAAACAGGCCTGCATGAGACATTGTTATGGGCTCTAGGCCTCCAGTTGGACTCGTGGGAGGCATTGTTATGGGCTCTAGGTCTTCAGCTGGACTCATGCAGGACATTTCCATGGGATCCAGGTCCTCAGCTGGATTCCTTAGTCTCAGCATGTGGGCGGATTTCCTGTACTCTCTTGTATATGATTCTTTGGATGACTATTATAAATCATCTTATAAATTGTGTGTCCTGTATTATATTGTTCTCCCTTGCAAAATATCCCCTAAACCAAGACAAGGGTATTGCTCACAGTGCTGTGATATGTATTTTAAGTTGGTGCACACTGAGGTGTGGTTTTGTTTGTTTGTTTCCTTTTTTTTTCCTGTTGGGGGGATTGAACCCAAGGCCTGAGGCATGTTAGGCAAGCACTCTGTGAGTGCTTCCCACTGTCACCATCAGGCTGGGGAACTCTGGGTACACATTTATAGGCTCCCTGTCTTCATGATCAGAACTTGTCTGGATGAATCCTTGAGGTGCACAGGAATAGCAGCCTAGGGGTCTGCTGGGTATGCTATAGGGCAGAGAAAGAGTCTCCTTTCATAAGGAAACCATGGAAACCACACTAGGAAGACCTCAGAGTCCTAGGAGGTTCTAATCCCCAGCAGGGCATCTTCACACAGGACCAGAATGTCTTAGACCTTAGTTCTTAGGGATCAGCAGGCAAAAACAATCCCCAGCCAAACTGAACTACTCACTGTTTATTATGGGTACCTCTATCTCCTACCAGGGCTCTCTTGGGCCAGAAGAAAATTGGACCCCATCTGGGTATTAGGAATGCAACTGCTTTCCCTCCTACTGAGTTATTCCAGGGAAGAAAATGCACAACCCAGAGGCAAACATTTCTCGAGGGCAGCATCTGAGGCTCAAGTTAAGGCCAGAGATAGGAAGCCTCTGTTTTCCCTTCAGCTCATAACTCAGCACACAAGAAGAAAAGTCACTTTGTCCACACAAGAACTTTCTTCACTTTGATACAAGGCCAGCCAATAAGCAAAATATTTTTAATCATTAGAAAAGTGCCAGCACAGGTCAGCATTTTATCTTCCATAATTTAAAAAGGAGTCCAATAAAAGCATGAGTGCAAAGAAAACAAGTGTTATGGCTTATATCTAGATGTCCTCCCAAAGCCTCACGAGGTCCTGGGGAGTTTTGAAAGTAGCTGGATTAGGGTGTGTAAATGTGCATTAAGGGTGTGTAGCTGGATTAGGGTGTGTAAATGTGCATAAGGGTGTGACACTGGGATTAAGAGTGTGGATAAGTGGAGCCCCACCCTGGGTATGGGTGGCACCAATCAATATGCTTGTAGCCTGGATACAAAGGGACAGAAATGAGCAGGCTCCCTGCTGCTTGCTGCTTCCCGCCTGCCCTGCTACGGATTGTTTCTCCTCTGCCATGCCCCTCTGCCATTGCCCTGCCTTGGAGCCAGCCAACTCAACTGAAGCCTCTGCAAATGGTGAGCTGAATAAACCTCTCCCCCTTTAACTCTGGGTATAGGATATTTTGTCTCAGCAACAGGAAAAGTAACAAAGATACCAAGGTTACTCATACCTGGCCTAAGACAAGATACCCACTTAGAATGTTTATGACAAAAAGTGAAGGAAAATAGGTGTTTCATAAATGTCTTGAAACATGTAATAGAGGAAAAAAACATTTAATGGAGAGAAAAACATTCCATGACAGCTGGTTGAACGGAACTAAAACTTTAGTCTACAAACTTTTACTTTATGAAGTTCTTGTATTTATTTATTTTGGAGTACTATAAACTGAACACAGGGGTGTTTCTCTGAGCTACATCTGGAGCCCTTTTTCACCTTCTATTTTGAAACAGAGTTTCTCTAAGTTGCTAAATTGCCCAGGCTGGGCTTGAATTTTGTGATCCTCCTGCCTCAGTCTCCCAGAGTGCTGGAATTACAGGTGTGGCCATCATACCCAGATGGGAATCTCCTTTATTCTGCAGCATAAGCTGTAGTTATTCATATCTTTTTGTTTTGTTTTAGAGAAAGCACTTTTTTTCTAGCCTTAAGCACCAAATTGGTCTTGTAAGAAAAGAAGCTCAAACCTGTAGAAAGGGGCAAGGAGCAGCCGACCCCGCTGCCTGACCCGCCCAGGCTACTCACGCGGCTGTGGTCTGCACATCGTGCCAGCTCTTGCTGAGGTTCTGTTTCAACTCGCTCATCAGGCTCATTCCCAGTTGCTGTCTGATCTCCACCAGGCGCCTCTCCTTCACCGACAGCACTTGTCGCAGGGTTGTGATTTCGTCCTCCAGCTGCAGGTGGGAGGGGACAGGTGAGAGAAACGTCAGATCCAAGGAAAGGAGGCTTGGGAAGCTACAGTGCCCCTGCCTTTCTTGATGAGCTAGAATACTTCACTTGTATGCATACACTGATAACTGCAAAACAAATATATATTTCAACCTCTTATCCACAGAACCCCCAAAGTGTATTTGGTTTTTGGGAGCATGGGGTTACTTATTATGCACCTGGGGAAGGGGAAGTGTGAGTAGAGGACTGAGTTTTCATTAAAATCTCTTTTAATGAAATCTTGATTCCAAAAGTGATAGGAACATTAAAGTGATCAGTTTCCAAACAAGATCCTAAAAAAAGAAATACAGATTCCCACACCTCCTAATCTGAAAATGCAGATACGTGTCAGCTGGCATTTGTGCGCCAGAGCCCTTCAGTGATGGAGGCGTGAACTCAATGTCTTAGTTGGTTCGGTTCTGAGGTTCTAGAATGAAATCCTATTCATTTCAGTCAAGTATAAGGCTCACATTCTCAAAGCTTTCAGCATATCCATCAGACACTTCAATATTTTCCAAAAAACTTTTTAAAAACCTCAGAAAGTAGAAATACAACTTTAAATTATACGAAATGTGATGATTCAAGATGCTCATGCCCCGTCTACACAGAGTCTGCACAACACCGAGTTGTTAAGCTCGGATGCTCTCGGCGACGGTGTGAAACCCCATTCCGATTTTGACGATGAGATGTCTTGCGTGTGATCACACCAGTGGTTCTCAACCTCAATTCACAAAAGAGACAACCATAGAGCGTATTGCAAACTTAGAATCCCAGGTATGTGACCTTTCTCAGCTCCCTGAGATTCTGATGACTTAAATTTGGTGGATTCAGACAACTTATGTTATTGAAAAAGTACCGCCAGATATCTGTATGCAGGTAGCATGGAAACTCTATATTGTAAATACTTCTCTCAGCCACATCAAATTTGGAATGACATGTACTGCAGGTAAATTATATTGATCGAAATATTTTTCTCTTTTAATTTGAAGTTAATTATTTATTCAGTAAAAACTAACAGCATGGCTCTTTGGTTTCTTAAATTCCTAGAAGATCTTGTGTGATAAATATTTGTGCTCAGATTAAGCATTTAAGTATGATTATTTAAGAATAAATAACAAAGGTATCAAGTGTTGGTGAAGATGTGGAGGAAGTGAAATCTTTGTGCTTTGCTAGGGAATGGGAAATGGTTAAGTCACTGTGGAGCACAGTCTGGGGGTTTCTCAAAAAGTTAAACAAGAATCACCACTTCACCCAGCAGTTCTGGTCCTACAGTATATACCCCAAAGGAGTGAGAAATGGCATTCATGCTACCTCTGTATATATGCTCACAGCAGCTGTATTCACGATAGACGAGAAGAAAGAGCCCCAAAGACCACCAAAGGAGGGGGAGATCAACACACTGCAGCATACACGTGAAACACAACACTATTCAGCCATAAACAGAAATGGAGTCTCAACTAGAGCAACAGCGTGGATGAACTTGGAAAACATGAGGCTGAGAGAAGCCAGACACAGAGCAACATATTGCATGATTCCATTTACATGGACTATTCACAAAAAGTGAACCCACAGAGGTAGAGCACAGACTGGCAGTTGTTGGAAAACTGGGGAGGGGGATCGGAAAGGAACTCTTTATTGGATGTGGTTTTCTTTCAGGGTGACAGTGTTTTGGCCCAGACTGAAGTAGGGGTTAGCCAGCACTGTGAGTTTGTGTCCTTAAAAATGGTTAATTTTAAGTGATATAAATTTATTTTGATGAGAATGCAAAAAAGCAAATTAATTAAGCTGAATTAGGTAATCATTCATTTCATTATAAAATTTGTTTTAAGATTGAAAATTTATTTTTTAACGTATCTGCTAGATTGCATAAAATTTATAGCAAAACACAAGGAAAAATGCTTGGATCCACTACTTATCACGGAGGTGACGATTAGCTTCAAGGCTTCCCCTCTGACCCACTCCTGCCTTTGGCTGTGTGTTCCCAAGCACTAAATTTCACTCAAGGGCTCTAGGGAGGGGGGTGATGATGAAACTTCCTAGTCTCAGCCCAGAGAGAACAAAGGTCTGGGGAAAGAACGGAGCGTCAAGCCCAGCCGAAGGCTTCTGCGCCATGGCAGACAGTAGCAGGTGGGCACTGTGTCCTCTTGGGGACCGACACCCCAAAAGAGAGGGAAGTGCCCAAAGTGGGTGTTGGGGTGTGAAAACACTCTCTGCCTACTTGATGATTCTGTCTGGTATTTTTCAGACTCCTATTAATACCTATTTTTCTTGAGTCATTTTATTTAGGAGACATTGGCAGAGTTGACCGTTACATAACCACAGACTGACGGTACAAATACGACACTTCATCCCTTCCAAAGCCAAGGTATGCCGTGGAATGGGACGCCAGGCATAGACTGCAGCTTTGGGAGCGGGCAGTCAGAGCGAGGTGGCAGTAATAAAGGACTATCACTCAGGTTCGTTTAAAAGAGAGAGAGAAAGAGAGACAGAGAGAGGGCTCCCGGAGTGGGGTGCACACCTGTAATCCCCACAGTGAAGGAAACTGAGGCAGAAGGATCACGAGTTCAAATCCTATATGGGTAACTTGGCAAGACCCTGTCTCAAAATAAAAATAAAAATAAAAATAAAAATAAAAATGGCAGGGATGTAGCTCAGTGGTAAAGTGGTAGAGTGACCTTGTCTTTGGCCCTTACTACAGAGAGAGAGGGAGAGGGAGAAGGAATGGGAGGGGGAGAGGGAGTGGAGAATAAATGAGAATAGTTGTTTAAAGATTTCAGAAAAGCAGCCGGTAGTAAGCTAGAACAACTCTCCGAAATGAAATAGTACATCTTGACAGATTCATAAGGTCTGTAAAATATATTCTACATTTGCTATTTGCAAATAGAAATATTTGTGCAAGCTGTAAAATAATTCAAGCTAACTGGAGACCTTCTATAGACAGCCGCCACAGTGATCAGAGGTAACCTTGGTCTCCCAGCCAAGGGACTTTGAAGAAGACATCTACAGCATGGCCACAGTAACAAATTAAAGCTCAAATTGTGCTGAAAGATATTGCTGTTTTAAAATGCTGAATCCAGCCAGGTATATTGGCACATGCTTGTGATCTCACCACTAGGGGAGGCTGAGGCAGGAGGAACACTGTGAGTCTGAGGGCCACCTGGGCTACCTAGCGAGTTCAGGGCCAGCATGAGACTGTCTCAAAAAAGCAAACAATAAAAGTGCAGAATCCACCTGCCTTTTTTGATGCTCTTGGCTTATTTTACACCAACAGAGGTCTTCATAGAGCCAGCTCTTGGTACACACACAAGTACACTGTCTGTGTGTGTGAGTGGAGTTATGAGATCACCCAAAACCTCAGGGCGTTTAACTACAAAACAGTGCAGGGTGGCAGGGAGGACAGCGGGAGGGACAGGGACCCCCTCAGACAGGAGGAGATGAGGGAACGAAGGACAGATGTGGACCAAAGGCAGCGCTGGATGTGAGGCATACAGAAGGCCCTGTTCAGCAAAGCAGTTAGAGACAAGGCCTCAGGCACAGGTCCGGCTTTGGGTGGGGGCCATACCTCAAGTGCCCGAGTCAGAACAGGCTCCCAAGGGGCTAGCCTCTGGGGTATCTTCACACTGGAGTGGCTGATAGACCCTGCGGCATCTTCCCTTTGACCAGGGGTCCGAGCAGAGTGTGTATGGAGAACTGCGTGTCTCAAGGATATCCCAGGTCTTCTCAGGGCCGAGGGGAGACTGCCGAGATGGCTCTGCATGTCCCTATCATAACTAAGGGGCTGGACTTGCTGAGCTCATGCGTGCACATGTGTGTGAGCTTGTAAAATAATAGGGAAAGCAGGTTTAGGGAAAGAGCAAGCATAAAGCAGATGAGGTCTGGGAGGGAGGGAAAAGAAATGGAAATGAGAAGAGGAAGAACTTCAGCTTGGAAGAGAGCTTGCTTTGCTCCTCACCGGCCCCGGGTCAGACAGATGCGACCCAGCGCCTCCGGGAGTTACGCTGCTCCTTTCGGCTGCATGAGGCCTTTCTTCATCTCCGAAGAGCCCGGAGAGAAGAGATAGAAAGCTTTGCAGGCCGGCGCCCTCTGAAGGACAAAAGCACGGATCCTGGGCACCTGAACCCAGTATCAAACAGCCTGGTGTGGCCTTCCGAAGTCAGGCTCCAAGCATCTTAGAAATGAAACTTGCTGGATGCTTGTTCCTGGCCAGAAAAGACAAGCGTCCGAAACTCTCCTAGTTTGTTTGCTTGCTTTATACGTATGGGGCATTCATTTAAAACCAATACTGTTTTTCTTAATTATAAAAGTAGTCCCTGCTCATCACTGATCATTTAGAAAATGCAGAACACATAAAAGCAAACATACATTGAGAAAAGCAAGCATGGGGATCTCAGGAACCCCAGCACCCAAACACACAAGGCGTTCGTAGCGCTGGTCCGTTACAGAGGCTGTCCATGCGTAAAATGAAATGAAACTCTGCCAGAAAATGGGTGAAGTTTAAGCTTAGGGTGTCAGCTTACAGGTGTCTGCAGAACTCGGCTCTGGACACCCCAGCTGACATGGGTTTGGGGCTGTGAGAAAGTGTGGAGTTGGTCTATTTTCTGTTGAGGCTGACTCTTGAAAAGCAGCTTGCACCTATGCCACGGTTTTAAACAAATTCCATTCGGTGTAAGTGACTTAGCAGTCCCATCGTATTCTGATACTAAAAAGAGCATATTTCCACTTGATTATTATTGTTGATTAAGCAGCATGAATATTCATTTTACCACTGTAACCAACAGGTAATTAAGAATTAGTATTGTGAAACTACTCTTAAAAAAAAGAATTATCTTGCAATGTATTCATTCATTCCATTTTATTAATTGAAAGAGAACGTAATTGCAATATGAGACCTGTATCAATAGTAACACTCAGGGTCCAAAGATAGAAACAGCAGCAGGAAGAGCGCTAAACATACCTGATCTAATTCTGCCTTTAACTCCTCCTTCTCCTCCTCGGAGAGCGTGCTGGAGAAGTCAGCGCTGGCTACTGCATCCTCATCCCTTCCTTGCAGCAGCTCTGTCTCCAGCAAACCTTTAGGCAAAATTGATAAAACATAAAGTACTTTGTGGTGCTGGGGTGGAGTGTCACCCTGGTGGCTTTGGGCTCTGCCCTGGTGGTGGGTGGGCTGCACTTCTGGGTAACACAGGTGGGTCGTGGAGGCCTGGCCGCAGGTCTGTGTCTCGTCCCTCTTCCTTCCCCTTCCAGCTCTGCTCTGCTTCCCAGCCACGGTGACCTAGCGGCTTTGCTGCCCCACGCCCTTCTGTGACATCTCTGCCTTAGAGCTGGTGATTATGGACGGAGACTATGAACCAATGAAACCTCTCCTCCTGCAGCCTGGAGGACTAGATATTTTGATTCTCCCACTGGGAGGCAAATAAAAAGTTTAGGAAACAAAAGAAAAAAAGAAAACTTCCCAAGTGTGAGATGAGCCACAGGCAAAGCAAAGAACACTCAGAAGCCAAACAACTAAGCGAGAAGCAGGAAGCTAGAGATGTAACCGAAACAAGCTTTCCTGGGCTGTGACTTGCATCACAGAGGTAGATTCCAGGGTCACTGGTTTGCCTGGGGTACTCTGGGCCTCTGAGTATCTGAAGGCCACCAAAGAGAAGAGCTCAATGGAGACCTCCGCGTAAATCTGTGTTCCCACAGGGCTATGTCCCAAGAGTCAGTGAACCAGAAATGGATGCACTGCTTCCCCACTGGATCTCCAAGGCAGGTTGCCTGTCTTGAAACCTGGCTCTAAAAAGATGGGAAAAAACCCTCCCCTGGGAAGATATGAACCCAGGTGAGACCGGAAGTGAGCTTGTAACCTGACTGAAAACTACCTGGATGGTCCAAACATAGGGGAGACCAGAATTTCATATAGGAAGACGCTTCCATTTTGGGTGTGTCAGTACAGGAGCCTGGAGCAGCTCCAATGGGGGAAACTCCATGGACAAACCATTCCAGTGGACCCGAAGACTGGGAGTGACTGGGTTCTTGACTTCATCACAGTGCCACAAAGCTACGTTGTGATGTGAGAAAAATGCCTTCTAACCTAAAACCTAAGGTTCCTCACGGAGGGACCGTTGGCGTCTGGTTAATTCATGGGCCTAGGGTCTCTGGGGACACAGAAAACAGCCAAACACTTGTGGACACTTTATCCACGCCATGATTTGTGACAGAGCTGGCATTCACACATCTGTGGAGCAGGGGAAGCCTTGAATAAAAGGTCCTTGAATAAACAGTTATACATAGAAAATATAATTTGGACAACTTCACACCATTCACTGTGACAAAGCCAGGAGTGTTTTAGAAGACAGCCCAGTCTACATTTCTGAACCCCTGGGTAGGGGATGGCTTAAGACACATAATGGAGCCGGAGATATAGCTCATTGGCTCAGTGCCTGCCTAGCAAAATTGAGGTCATGAGTTTGATTCCAGGTACAAAAAAAAAAAAGACACAAAATGGCAAACTGTGGGAAAAAGTGTGGGTAGAGGAAGAACATCTCTTTGTCATGCAAGGGAAGTGAAAATGGCCGCCCATGGGAAGATATCTGTCATGTATGTAATTATCAAAGGATTTCTTCCTAAGAATATGCAGAACTTCTGCAATGCAATTTTAAGCACGGAAATAATGCAACAGAAAAATGGAAGAAAAAATCCAAGCAGATTTTTATGGAAAAAAGCCCTCACAAATGGTTAAAGAAAATCTGCCCACCTTCATTGATATCCAGGGAAACACAAATGAAATCGTTTCTCTCGCTGTGAACAAAACATTTCAAGCTGGCAACTACACAGAGGACCCACATGTTCATACGCTGCTGTCAAGAGTACAAATTTAAACAATTTGGGAAGTCATTTAGCATTATCTAATAAAGCTGGACACAGACATGAATGCTCACATAGCCTACAATGCAACCGTTCAACACCTAGGTGTTTTCTCAAGGCATTCCACATGAGAGCCTGAGGAAATTAATGAAACCTTTCATAACAGCAATGAACAAAAAGTCATAGAGAAAGAAGTCCACAGACGGGGCATTGCTTGTGTACGGTGCGGTGCATTCACCCAGCAGACATTTTGACAGCTAAATGAGTGGACAACAGCTATTGATGTAACTAAGAAATAAGATACTGAAGGGAGAACCCAAGTAAGGAAGAATGATAAAGTATAACTGCACTTGCATGAAGCACTAAAATATGCAAACTAAGTAAAATACTGCTTAGGAAAAAAATTCTAAAGAAAAACAAGGCAATGGCATAAAATTCAGGAGCGTGGTTTTCTCTGAGGAAGGAGGTGGGGTCAGGCGATCCTCTAGGAGCCCTGATAGCATTCATGGCTCTGCTTCACATCTGGGACACCGAATTTCTGTGCATGAACATTTTTTGCACTTTACTCTTACCTTGTAAGGATTCTTCTCTTTTGTGTATTTATTATTTAATAAAACAAATTGTTATGGTATTTTGTCTCAGCAAAAAGAAAAGGAGCTAAGACACAATTAAAATGCATTTTTTCTAAAGTCAAAAGAGAAAGGTAACACAACGCCTATGTCCATCAATAGATGAATAAATAAAGAAAATGTGGTATTTATACACAAAGGAGCACTACCATGCCATAAAGAAGGATGAATCTGAGCCATTTCTAGGAAAATGGATGCATCCTCAGACCATATGGTAAGTTAAATAGATCAGGCACACAAACTTAGACATTGCATTTTTAAAAATATCAAAAACCCAAAGTATGAATAATGTAAAGAGTAAAATAAAAGACAGATAATAGGATACAGGGAGGCAAATCTTTTGCAAATGGGAAAGGGACCTAGAGATGAAAGGAGGGGCAGGAAAGAGGATTTAAAAAAATTAAGATGTGCTATGTGTGTGTACCAACTCCCCACAAGGGATGTGATCATTATGTACTATAAACACGGACTGACAAAATTTTAAAAATTAAAAATATCCTACAAAATCAGAACATTATGCTCCAAGTCTACATGTTTTCCTAACACTTGCCTTATTCTGAGTCCTTCACACCCACTTGGTGTAGGGCACTACAAAGCGGCTCTGAGCAGGATCTAAAATTAACCAATTGGCTTTCTATATTTTCTTTTTTTTTTTTTTTTGGTTTTTCTCCGGTACCGGGAACCGAACTCACGACCTTGTGCTTGCCAGGCAGGCGCTTTTGCCGCTGACCAACACTC